AGAACACTACAAAGCATGATAGATCCTAATGGTTATAAGTGGTTGTAGGTTGATTTTGAAGTGTTTTCTTTGGTATGTTACATGAGTACCATTTCGGCCAAAGCAAGCGCTGGACCCTAGGATGTGTTTTTCAAAGTTTTGTGATTTCCATTGTGTTCAAAATAGAAAATAGTATAGGATAAACCTAAAGAATAAGTGTTGGAAGCCATAGAATCAAAGTTGTAATTTTTAGAAAATGAACCATAGTGGTTCGGCCAAGCTGAAACTGGAAGAGGAAGTTTTATTTTCTTAAATCTAAGTAGATATTTGGAATCTACATGAAAAATCATGTAGGAATGAGTCAAGAGGGAATTTTTAGTGTTTATGGAAACCAAACTCTAAAATTTAAAGAACAAAGGTGGAAGCTTTAAGGGATAAAGGCTGTCCTTGAGTTATGTTGTTGATTTTTATGTGGAATGGTTGATGATTCTTGCTGCTCTTTTTGTAGATTGCCATATTAGGGTTTGATATTTGTGGAAGCAAGAAAGAAGAACAAGAAAATCAAAGAGCATTGGATCAAGGTAGTAAGATTTAATTAACCTTAATGTTGAGTTTTGCATTGATTGCTATGCAATTTCATGTGCTATTATGCGGTTGAGCTAAATGATGATGATGATGATGATTGTGTAGCTATACTTCTTGATTTATGTGCCTTGGCTATTGCATGTTAGAGTGCTACATATATGAGGTAAAGTAGTTCTCTATTAATAGTAAAAGGTTGAAATGCTTGTAATTGATGAATGTTGATGTTTTGGTTGATTGATCTTGCTACTGGGATTTCATTGAAATCTCATCCCCTATATGTAACCTAATATTGTAGGGACTGAATCATCAAAAAGGGAGGCTGCAAATCCAAGGATAAATATGGTGATGAACCATGAGGAAATATTTATATTTGGTTATGTATAAGTATGTGTGGTTGGTGCTGTAATCTCTAAGCATGACGCCAAATTAGAGTCATGTTTTTTTAAGTCCCGAGCAAATTTTGTTATGAAATTTGGTATGCTTAAATTTCACGTCATGAGTTTCAAATCAATAGGTAGCATGTTAAAAATGACTAACTATACGATTTTTAATGATTTTTCAAAGTTAAGGTTCAGAATCTAAAAAAAAAGTTTTTGCCAAATGGACAGAGGTGACTTCCACAAAAATCTGACACTTTTGAAAATGGAATTGGTTCACAAGATTATTTTTCTTTAAAAGAGCATTCAAAGATCTTTTTATAGAATTTTGAACTACTTCATTTTGATTTTTCTAAATTAAGTTATAAATTTCTAAAGTTGGACTAAAAAATTAGATTTTTACCCAATGAACAGTAAAAATCCGAAATTAGCATTTTTGTGATAAAATTGAGCCTAAGACCATCTAATATGGTCTAAAATAGTGTTAATTAAACCCTAAGTGGATCCGATAATAAGGTGTGACACTATGCAATAAAATCTCATATGCAACTATGCAATAGAATGAGTCATATGCAACTTTACACAAGCAATATACAATTAGGATAATTTTACAATTAATTGCACTAAAAAAGTCAAATGTTTTAGGTACCATTTTCTTATTAATTTATTTTTCAAATAGGGATTTGTCCCCATTTTCACAAAAGTAATCCATTTTGGATCAACCTTTTGCTTTGTATCCCCGCCTCCATAAAAAAGACAGGCACGTGGACTAAACGAATACGGGGCCCACCCAACCCCAACGCCTATCCCTTAAAAGTAACATGCTAACATGCTCCAATAACAAAGAATCGAAATACATGAATATCTTACAAAGCAATGTTGGGTAGTGATAAAAATGTCTTTTTATTGTCCATAAATCAAAAGTGGGTCTATTATTATGTATTTATTTATTTCCTATATCATTTATTTAAAATCATTTTTTATTAAAAACAAAAGACATGTTAGCAAAGCTATTTTTAATCAATTTATGTTATGGTCTTCGCTTTCCTTTCTACGGATCTACAGCACGTATAATACACGTAGCCTTCATAAAGCCATGCACGTTCCACATGCATATGCGTAGAACTCTCCGTTTTATTATCTTATAGCAATGCCTTTTCGTGCTTCATGCATCCGAATATAAAGCACAAAAAACTTTCAGCAGGTTTTATATTTCCTCTGGAAAAAAAATTACATTTATATTTTAAGTTATATTTTTATTTTTTTCCAAAAAAAGAGCTTGGTAAAGTGTAACAAATAATCATTAGAAACTCCTTCCCTTTCACAAAAATATCGTCAAAACATAACTCAATATATTCATCAATATGGGATAATTAAGTATATATATTATAATATTATTGCATAAAACTTATAAAAAATTGTATTATTCATAAATCATCATTAGTATTTAAATTTTACTTCAAATCAACAACTTGGTTTGGAAATAAATTCAGCGTCCTTTTGAACATTTTTGCGTATATATATTTTGCTGCATTTGGACCTTTACTGATATTTCCCGGAAGATTACTCTGCCTTGCTAGCCCACTTGCAACATCATTTTAAAATGTGGTCTTATGATTCCTAATTGTGCTCTCTGGAATCTTCATTCCTTGATTTAGTGTCAATAATATATTTTAATTTGCCAACCATTTTCTTAAATCCACATAACATGTGTTTGTCGTAACTCTTCACTTTTCTGATGGACAAAGATCCGTTAGAATCGCCGAATAATAATCTTTATTTTTTGTTTTCATTCTGCATACAAGTCATCGACAATCTCCATATTAAATTATACTAAAATAATAATGGATAAATGTCAAGTCAAAGAAATTTAGCTTCGTAGATCGAAATTCCTCGTTTTGCATGGCGATATGTACGCCATATAGCATGAAAGAAGAAGAGTTACTCCCATTTAGGCTCACAGAACTATTAAATCCAAGGTACTGAAAATCATACTAGCCATTAAATTGATCAAACTAGTAGTTCAAGGGTTAATAATCTCAGTATAGTTGAATCAGAGTTAGCCCAATTATGATTGAAATAACATAATTTAATTAAAATATAGATAAATATTCATATGTAACATCAAAAAGAGTAATATAAATAACAAAAAAGTGTCAATTCACACAAGTAAACAGAACATTCATGAATATCCCACACATAATCCAATAAAACAGAGTTCTCCTAAAATACAAATTTGACATATTACTACTTTTTCTTTGTTTTTTCAAAACTCCAAATGAAATCGTTTTAGGACTAAATCTGAATAAGCTAGTAATCTCAAATATGACAAGGGAAAAAAAAAAGAAGCCTGAATGATATATTCGGCTTGAACACACTTTTTTCCATTATAAGCTTCATTTCAATACTCTATGTTTTCCGATCACCACTTGGCCCTTAAAAGCGCGACAAAGCCTACGTTGACCAATTTTAATTTATTGCACAGACATCCTATAAAGATGATGATGCCCTCCTTAAACTAGTCTAACTCCAACTAATTAAGTTTTTTCTTTGATACGCTTCAATTATTATCAAGATACGGCTCTTTTTGAAAGTAATGTTTTTCCCATATATATTTGTTGATGAAAAACGAAAAGGGTTAATATTTCAACATTCTTTCACTGGTTATATTTATAAAAATGACCTGCTTATTGTTATTGCATAAGCTATTAGCCACTTGCATCTTATTCTCTGTATCAAGACTTCATAGATACTACCTCCAATCCTAAATATAAGAGTTAATTAACTAATTTGAGTAGATTAAAAAAATAAGTTAAGTTAGTTATTTGTAATAAATAGGTATTGTTTTTCCTAAATTATCCTTGCTAATCAAGTTATTGCCTAGAGATATCATTATTAGAAGGACTATCTTGGGAAAAAATGGATAAATATGAGAGACAAAGTAGATTGATGTCTTATATTTAGGACCAAAATAAAAAAGTCAAACGAGATCTTATATTAAGGACTAGAGGTAGTATATTTTTGTGTCGGAAAGACTTTGATTTGATTTGGACCAATTGCAGATTTGCAATAACCATCGCCACATGATTATTTATCTAATGTAATATATTAAACATTGCTTCAGATTAATGCAAATTAAATGTTATCTCTAAGTTTCAGACCGACCAGCTATATCATAAATGCTTCTTTTAAAAGCATATTTTTGTTGCATCTTGCTGCAGAGTAAGATTGTCGGTTGTAAAATTCTCGGAGACCGGGGAAGTTAATTGTCTCTAGTATTTTCTGCTTTCCAAATTCTACCCTAACTAAATATTTTATGATGATAGTAAAATCATTTTTTAGGGTTTGGAAAAAATTACTACCTACGGTCATTGATATAAGAGCTAGATAACTAATTTGCAAATATTAATAAAATTAGTCAAGTTAGTTATTTATAATAAATGAGTATTATCATTTCCAAAATACCGTTGTTAATCATGTACATTGCAACTACGCACTTTTGATAGAAACCCCTTAACATGTGCAATTATCATATGAATTATTGAGAGCAAAATAGATAAATATGATGTAGAAAATAGATTAAAGTCTTATATTTATGACAAATTAAATCTACAATTAGCTCTTATATAAGAACCGGATTTGGTATCAAATAGGGATACATATAAATATATTTTAACAAAACATTTTACAATTTTTAATGAGGTAAAAAGGATAATGACTTAAAAAAATTGGGTACTATATTTAGAGATGGAGGGAGTATTAAAAAAGAAAAAGGAAAAGCTAAGCAATTGGTCATATAGAAGAAACCTCCGACTTGTGCACCATGTGGTGTGCACCATCACGTGCGTGCACCCCACTCATTTAAACCATTGATTGGAAGACATTAAGTTGAATGATCAATATTAATTTATTTTTAATTTGGAAAAAGATGGCCCATATACCATATAAGATCATTTGGACGGTTTTAATGATATGCACTAAATCTGCACTTCTATAGAAAGCACCTTGGCCCCTGGCCATTTTCTCCAAGTTGTACAGCCTGCTTTAGAATTCCCTCTTCACCCCACCTCCCCTCGTAGAATAGAGAAAGACAGAGAGATAGCTAATATTGTAGGCTTCAACAATCAACGAAGAAATATGGCACAACTTATCAACCTCACAATTCTAGTGATGCTTCTCTTGTCTCTCTTCTCAATTCATGTTGTAGCTGAGCCATCCTTCAACAAACCTCGTCGTGGGTACAATCCTCAAACAATCGCTTATATAAAAGCCTCTTGTCAAACCACTATGTACCCAAATCTGTGCCTTCGCTGCTTATATAAATTTGCCAATTCAAATATTCAAAGCCCACAACACTTGACTCATGTGGCTCTATCTGTGAGTCTCTCACGAGCACTACACACAAGAGATTACTTGCTGCGAGTCGCCAAACAATTCAAGGCAATCAAGAATAGTAACAATAGTAGAGACTATGTAGTTCTGCAAGATTGCTTGAAGCAAATCGATGATAGTGTGGACCAGCTTGGACTTTCAATAAAAGAGCTTGGGCGGTTGAAAAAGATCCCAAACACTTTTATCAATGATGGTGTCTTGTGGCATATAAGTAACGTTGAGACGTGGGTAAGCACTGCCCTTACTGATGCGAGCACTTGTGTCGATTACTTCCCAGGTCATAGGATGAGTAAGATGAAGGCTACAATAAGGGGTAAAGTTTTGAACGTTGCACAAGTCACTAGCAATGCACTTGCTTTATTTCAGAGATATGCAACCAAGTACCGAGAAGCAGCCGCCGCCGCAGCCAAAAGACCCTAAGTGCCTAAAGAAAAGTTGCGTTTTGTTTGTTCGTGTGGATTATGCATGTTTTTCAAGGGCGACTTTGTTATTCTTTTAAGATAATGTGCATAGAGAAAAGAAAAATCAATTGAAACGAGAAATTAATCTTTTTGTATTCATTCATTTTAATCTATCTCTTTCCTTGTTTCTGTGAAGTGCATGTAACCTTATTTTCCCCCCCATATATTTCATATGTATTCAATCATTCATCTCTGAAAAGGAAAAGCACCCATGTTCCTCTTATTTACAAGTTTATTGAGATGCAAATTTTTTAATAAAGTAGTTTTTTCAAGACCCACTAATCATCCTGGACTTAAAGGTAATAGTATAAACCTGCCTATAAAGTCTTCACGCGAGAGCAATCTTGTCCATCATCTCTATTAAACTTTTGTCAATTTAAACGTTAGTTGACAGAGCTAGTCGTTTCACTCCCAATTAATTTCTAGGCTATCACTATGTAGAATAGGGCAGATCAATGTCGTTTTCACTTTGAGGGACCTGCTGAATTTTATCTCTAATCACTTTGGACAATGATTACAAATTACCAAATTGAAGTTCAGTTACGACAAGTTGAATTAAAGTAGCTAAAATGGCCTCGGCACTTCTTTTTTTCTTTTGGCTAAAATGGCCTCGGCACTTCTTCTTTTTTTGGCCAAAAAAATGGCCCCTAAACTAATTTTTATATTTTTCTGTTTTAAGCTGGAATGAGCATAAATGAATTTAACAGTGTTATGTGATATAGTTTGAACAATTATAAAAAAAACATTCTAAGGTGAATTCACTAGTCATCACGATTTCCTAACTTAACTGAGACTCTTCTTCATTAGGTAGAATTAGTCACTAAGTAACCCCTAGGCAATTATCATTAGTTCATTAATAGCATTTATGTATTTCTAATGTGCATTTGAATTTTGCTTTTTTTTTTTTGGTAAGATTTGAATTTTGCTTTTATCCCTGCGTAAAAGGTCGGCCAACTTAATCGAGTTAAAACTAATCAAATCTATTCTATTACAATATAAAACAAAGCAGGACTTACTGTGAGGCTACCAGTGCCTAATAAATCTATCTTCTTCCTTCTTCTTTTTTTCCTTCTAATTTTTCTAGAATTTCCACAATGTGTAATATTACGGTTGGTTATGCACTTTGAATGTTGAGGTCTAAACTTTAAAATGTTGACACATGTCAAAAATTATTATTTTTTGGTTGCTCAGAGTATCCTCCCACCCGAACGATAAGCGACTAATCTCTTGGGGTACTGTCAGGCGCTATAGCTGGGGCCCCTCCCAACAGTATTTTTTCCATATACACCATCCTAAGGATCAAACCCTAGATATGATGTTTAAGGTGCCCAAGTCTCTTCTATTTGGACCTATGATATATGTGCTCCCAACTCCCAGCTGTGTAGTTACTAATAATCACAGGAAAAATGCCTAATATTTAAAATGCATTATATAATTATTCTGACCTCAAAAATTATGGCACATAATCCAGCCATGATGTATCTTGGGAAAAATGTTTAACATTTATTAGTATTTGTTTGGGGTTGCTTACCTAGCAAATTTAAAATTCAAACTATGTGTGGGTATTTTCTTGAATGTGTAAAAATTTATCAAATATATATGTGTGTGTATTTTTTTTATAACAAAAAGTTTAGGTGAGTTATGTAACATCTCGAATTTTGGGCTTAGAAATGCAAGAAATAGTTTGAAATTAGTAGGCTACCAGATCCCTTTGGCAGGTGATAAAACCCAAATTTTATATATTTTATCCCACATTTATTCAGAATTTAAATGATAATTTTGAGCTTAATTGGATTTTTATGCATTATTGGATAAATTGGTTGATTTTTGGATTTTGCATAAAAATTGATATTTTGGATTAAAAATATAGATATTTTGTGCTTTCCTATTTTTGACTTGGAATCAATTTTTCCTATTTCTTTGGAAACAAGTCTCATATTTTTAGAAAGATTAGTTTTAGAAAGTTTTGCAATTTCTTGCCTAATTTTTGTGCATATCTAATATTTAATTTTGATAGAGATTATATTATATTTGGATATAATATACATTAATGGATGCACTTAAATTCTTGTAGGTCAAGAAAGGGGCACATAGGAAATCCAATGGTGCAAGATTGTTTCTTAGAATCTAAGCACAATCCAATGGCTAATATCAAGTGGGCCAATTAATTACTAATAGGCTTGAGCTTTGGATCCATAAAATTTTCTTTTCTCCCATTAAAATATTCTCCTCATTCCATATAAAAAAAAGTCACGCCTAATATCAATTTTTCTCCATTCACGGATTGCACCATATTCCATCATCACATTCAATCACTTTCTCCTTCTCCATTCAGCCGCGGGACACTACGATTTCAATCAAACATTCATATCCCTTCCCTACGCACAAAAGCCCCATTCAATCATCATCACCAACTCCTCCATTCCACGTCCCACATAAATTCAGCATTTCATTATCCATTCTTCATTAACTATGGTGGCCGTGATTCCCAACAGTGTGGAGGGAGGAGATAATACCATGGCAGCTTAAGCTTGTTAGGGAGGCAACTTGGGAGGAGCATGGAGGAGACTAGAGCCTTGGGCTAGCACTTGAAGACCACAAGGGAGTGATGTTCCATTTATCTTTTTAATTCAAGGACTTGAAATTATTTAGTTTTAAATAATTTTAAGTTGTAATTTTGTTGAGACAATTTAGTTCTAGATTGTCAATTTTATTCTTGGATTGAATTGATATTTGGATCTTATTTGTGCCAAGATACTTGTTGGAATTTATGTTTAGAACCTTTGCATTGTTAATTGAATTTATAATTGAGTTTTCATTATGAGTTTAATTATCAATGTGGTTTGAATTGCAAAATTTGGGTTCTTTTTGCCTCTTAATTGTTTAATTAAGTTGGTTAATTGTCTAGTTGTTTAACTGGATGATTTCAAATATAATTTCCAGAATTAATTTGAGATATCTTCATTGGTTTTAATAAGCTTAATTGACCAACCTTATACTGTTATGAGTTCTCTAATGGTTTAAGGGTTTTTGAAATTGAGGGTTCCCTTTGTTTCAAATAGGTAATTAAGTTTATTAATTCCACTCTCTTATCACTTTTCTTTGGTCTAATTAACTGATTAAGGTTATGAAGGTTGAATTCATGCGAATCCTAAGTTGTCCCCTCTACCTTACCGAAGAGAAACTTCTCAATTTTCACTTCTTAATTTTCTTTGCTCTTTAGTCAATTTTCTTCATTTATCATTTTAATTTTCTATCTTCAAAAAAAAAATCCCCCCAAAAATTGCATTGCATTTATTTAGTTTAATTTAATTTTTATATAGATTTTAGGATATTTGCATCTTGCATTTAGAGTTAGAATTTTGCATTTTAGTTTAGGTCCAATTTATTGTATTTTTTTATCACCTAAATTTTTACCTAAAGAAACCCATAACTTGCTCCTTGGAAGTAATGACCTAGGTCGATCCTAAACTACAAATTAATTAGGACCTAGTTTAATTGAGTGCTTTGATGACAAAAGGCATCATCAATTTTGGCGCCGTTGCCGGGGAGCAATGGTTAAACTTTAGGTTTGATTTCTAGGTGATTTTGCATTTTCTTTCTCTGGTTTTTTTTTTTTTGGTGCATTTTTTTTTCTTTCCTTCTTTTCATTTCACTTTGATTTGTGATAGTTGCTTAGTGCATGACTAGATCCTCTAGCAAAGAATTGTTTGAACTTGATCCTGAGATTGAGAGGACTTTTCATCAAAGAAGGAGGGCTCAAGCTAGCAATCTTATAGAAAGTGATTCTTCTGTTAAGTTAACTGCTGATTCCTCTAATTCTCTTGACTCTTCTCATTCTGACAGTAGCATGGCTAATCCTGCTAGGACTATCAAGGAATTGGTTTCACCTGATCTGCATTTTCAAAATTGGTGCATCAATTATCCTGATATTGACACTGATTTTGAGTTAAAGTCTGGATTGATTCACTTACTTCCAAAATTTAATGGTCTTGCAGGCGAGGATCCATACAATCACTTGAAGACTTTTCATATAATCTGTACTGCTATGAAGCCTTCTGGTGTGTCTGAGGATCAGATTAAGATGCGTGCCTTCCCATTTTCTTTGGAAAGTTCTGCAAAGAATTGGCTTCTTCGCTTACCTCCTGGATTCATTACTTCATGGGACCAGCTGAAAAGGTTGTTTTTGGAAAAGTATTTCCCAGCATCTCGTACTTCCTCCATCAGGAAGGATATTTGTGGTTGCCGACAAATGTCTGGGGAATCCTTATATGAGTATTATGAGCGCTTTAAGGCATTGTTATCCAGTTGTCCTCACCACCAAATTTCAGATACATTGTTGATTCAATATTTTCATGAAGGGCTCTTGCCTCTTGAGAGAGATTTACTAGATTCTGCTGCTGGAGGTGCTCTTCTTGACTTGACTGTTGAAGCTGCTTGGAGATTGATTGAAAAGAAAGCTGAAAATACCCAACAGTTTGGTACTAGGCAGCAAGCTAGAGTAAATGAAGTTGGATTGCATTCATCTTATTCTGAGTCTCGCCTTGAGAGTAAAATTGATAAGTTAACATCTGCTATGGAGAAAATGGTTGTATTTCAGATGAAAAACTCCCAAAATATGGCTCCTTCTGTGGGATCTTCCTCTGCTTTCATCCCACAAGCTGACTCTACAGCTCTAATTGGGCCACTTTGCTCTATTTGCTCTCTAGCTACTCACACCACTGACTCTTGCCCTACCTAAATGATGGAGTTGACTCGTGTAATGCAGTATACCACACTAAGCCTATGACTCAAGGTGGCCAGAAATATGATCCTTACTCAAATACATACAACCCTGGATGGCGTGACCATCCAAATCTCAGATATGGGAGTGGCCAGCCTCAACAATCACAGTTCAATCAAGGCATAAACTCTTCTGGTGGTAAAATGTTCCAACAAGTTAGGCAAACTATGCCCAAT